GTAAACAATAATGTAAGAACGAGGTTAGTTGGAGTCTCAGAGTGGAAAAGTTCCAAACCTATTGATGCCGTTCATTGATTTTCTGTGCTTCAAGTTGTGGCAATCGTTTAAATTATTTTTTTTCCTTTTTATTAAACTTAATTTTATTATTATGTAATTTATTTATTAATTTTTTAATGAAACTCGGTGGTTTTAATAAAATAAGAGAACACCGCTGTAGTTCTTTTTAGAAAGCAAAAAGTTTTTATAAAAGAGGGGTTCAGAAATTGTAATAAAAAATTTAGACACCTATTAAGCAGTAAAAGACACTCGTAATAAAAACCACACTAAAAATTCCAAACAGTATCTTAATATCTTCAGGAGATTCCGAGAAAACAAAACTTTTGTTTTTGTTTTGATAATTAAAAATTTGATAATTAGAATAATGTCGTTACTGCTCGGCGTATTTAAAGGGACCGGCTATCAAGTGATAACAATCGCTATTCGTTAACATTTTGTTGTATTTAAAATGAAACTGTGCGAAGATATCCGTGTTCCCATAATGTTTTCATATCGTAACTTGGAATCTAAACTAAAAATGTTGACTCTGATAAATATATAAATTTCAACCTGACAGTAAAGAACGAGCGCAAGAAGACAAAAATATATTCATCATATAACTATCTATTACAGGCAGAAGTTCAACAGAACCTTCTAGCGATAGATTCTAAGTAAAAAAGCCGTCATAATTACTCATCGTTTTCGTTTGTTTGTTTTTTCTAAGGTGTTAAATAGCTTAGAGGCTAATACGATAATATGTTTGTTCGATCTGATGTGTCAGCAGATGTTTCCGAGAGCCAGACGCAATATATAACTCTATTGTCTGGATAAGAACATCAGTTATTCACTGCCGCAGAGCCATGTCAGGCAAGATCGTCACCGTTTTTCATAATAGAAATTGTAAAACGTTTTGAGAGAGTGAGTTTATGAAATAGAAATTTTATTGTATTTCATCAGTGTAACGAGATTAACAGATGTATATATATATATATATATATACACACGACCAATCTGTAGTAAAGTTTATTGTAAGTGCGG